TTTTATTTTATTAATGATATTCCTTTGTTATAGACCTTGAAAGTCTTATATGAACATATAAAATAGATATTCCGGTCGACATCTTGACCGTATATTTGCTAGATAATTTGAGTTGTGTCGACTCTTATCTATTCATATAGAAGGAACGGGCTCGAACTACATTCATTTATTGACCCGTGCAGCATTCCTAGACGTCACGTGTACCATTAACACACTCATCGGGTCCATGCGAGTTTTATGATTACACTTACCCTTTTTGTGTACCAATCTGTATACAAATTACGGTGCATGTGCGGAGATATTTTGGACATTTGATAAATCTTTTACAATGGCTCGTAGAAGTTCATCTTTGTCGTAGTCTTTTCAGTATTTGCTTGTGGATAGTATATTGGATGCATGACCACTATTCATCGAGGAACTTGCAAGCCTCAGTAATCTTATCCAACTCAATGTTCAGAACCTTGTTGAACTAAGATTCATTCCGTCTTTGAAAATAATGATTTGATGTAACTTTCTCTTACAAGAACTTGCATTAAGCTCGATAGGCAACTCTTAAGTTACGACATCATCATCATTTTCTACTGTCGGTTTAAATAAAGAATCAATCATTTCAACCTTGGATGATTGTGTCTTTACTGATGTCTTATACTTCATAGTTACTGGTCACTACCCCGAATTAATGATCACGATGATTGCAAGCACTAGGGTTGTCCGGTAGAATCATGTGAGACACTCATTCCCCAAATTACTATTGCAACCCTTAGTAGGAGTGTCAATATTAAACCCAACCCAAAAATCCGACCCAAAAATTTCGGGTTTGGTTTGACCCGAATCCGAAGCGGGTAGGGTTCGAGTCCGGAAAACGACCCGTTTTTGTAAACGGGTCGGGTCGGTTGACCCGAAAACTCGGGAATAACATGAAATGACCCGAAAAAGACCCTGTCGGTGTTGTCTTCCCTAGTTATCTCGCATGCCCGCTTGTCCCGGATGCCCGGTCTGACCGCGTGGTCGCGTGCATCGAGCCACAGCCATTGCCCACATGATGCACGTCGCATCGCGACAGCGCATGCCGCGCCATCTCCTGCGGCTGCATCGAGCCGGCCATTGCCCTGCTGGCCGCTGCAGCTCCGAACGCCGTTGCTAGCTGTTGGCTGTCGTTGCCGAACGCCGCTATCGCTGTCTGCTAAAGCTGTCGAACGCCCTGCCTGTCCAGCTGTGGGTTGCCGCTGCCGAAGCGGGTCGAGTTCGGGTCCGAAAAACCGACATGCAAAAACGGGTCGGTTCGGATTGACCTGAATAATGTCGGGTCAGTTTCGAGTTCGACCCGAACTCAACCCGTAACCCGAAATTGACACCCTTAACCCTTAGGATGATTGGAATAGCAAGTGTATTTTTTTTTCTTGTAATTGTAAGTTTGGGCCATCAAACTTTGCATTAATCTTTAACAGCCATTTGTCAAATATTGATCATAAACTCTAGTGGGCACGATGCATTGAGCATTGACATTCACTTGAACTCATCTAGATGTGTTACATCATCACTTTCACTGTATGTCAAATCATTCCAGTTGCAACTGACATGTTGATTGCGGTATGGGTCTCTTGTAGTGTCATTGAACCCTTTTACTTACAAGAAATTGATGTGTCTTTTCTTGTGATTGAATCATTATCACCTAAACCTAGGGAGGTATTAGTCATAGCGAGTTAAATCAATCCTTTTTAAATCCTCGGCATATAAGTACAACAAGCGGGATTTCTGGATGTTTTGAGTGACTCAGCGAATGTATCGATTATACTCTGATCATATCCCTTGTAGGTTTAGCATAGCGTAAGCAGATTTTAGAACTTTCCAATCTTTCTAGGAACTCCCAAATTGCTAGCTTCAATAGATAAGTGTTGAATCGTATCAGACATTCTATAATTTTTGCCACCAATGGAGATTCTGAGAGCTTCTTAACTATCCCTTTGGCAACGAGCTTTAAATTGCTATCGTCATGGTTCTCCACATTAGCAAATGCATGGTTGTTGTGGAGCCGCAAACAGATATCATCCTCTAAACCCTCCAACATCAGCATTTCTCTCTTCTTGTAGGGGATGGACATGTCTACTTGCCACAGTATTATTGTCAACGACATCGACAATTATCGTTGGCTTTCCTACTCACCATGATTTGTAGGGATATTAGATCTCCAAGCTTTTCTTATGAGCTTGTCATTGTATGATCTTCTACTATCCTTCATATGTGGTTAGTTGTACACGTTATGGATCTTCCATTATTGAAGGCGACTTCAGAAAGCTCCCTAACCATCATTGTCTTTCCAAATTCATATCCCATTTGGCATAAAGCTCTGAGCCTGGTGGGAATCTTCAAGCTACTAGTTGTAGGCATATTTTAGTCTTCTTCATTTGATCATTGTATGCAGATTAATTTGCTTGAATGGTCTGAGATAATTTGTTTTATCCTCTCTTGCTTCAATGCCTCTTGAGAGCTTGTTCTTCGTTCATCACAAATCCCCACGTCTATCACAATCATTTCAAATAATCAAATTGTATGATTGGGATGAACATTGTGAATCAATTGTTGTCATCTATGTGCAAGTTTTATTGTCCATTAAAGGCATTCTACTAAATCAAGTTGTATCCTTTATAACTTTTGTATCGCTTGTAAGCGATTTGTGTTTGCAGCTTCATTGTCCACCACAAGACATTGTTTGCTAGCATGAAATTTAAATGATTCAAACTTTTCTTAATTAGGATTCACATTCAAATTGGAGTTAAAACTCTTTACAATTCCATTAAAAATTTGATGTCACGTTTCAAATCAAGCTTCTTTATTGATTAATCTCTTATTTAATTTTTATCCAAGTTCAAATTAAGTTCAAGTTTGAATTCAAGTTTCACTTAGTTCGTTAGATGTCTGAATTCAATTCAGATATAGTCCATATACAATCCAGATGCAATCCTTTTGATTGCAAGCCATTCTCTTTCTCAAACAAATTTTTGGCAGCCTCCCACTGTCTCCCCCGTTTGGGAGAAATTTTAGGAGTTTGGGCCTCCCGTCACGCTAGAGAAAAGCATGCACGGTTGGTGTCATGGGACACCGATGCCGTAGTTTTCGTCCCCCACCACGCCAGAGAAAGGCATGCATGCGTCTTCGGGCACCTGTTTAAAATGCGTAGTTTTATATTTGTCCCCGCCTCACTGTAGGCGTCGCACCGGGTTCCCTTCCCACAACGCTAGAGAAAAGCGTGCATGGGTTGGTTTTCTGGTGCGCTGCTAACGCCAAAAATGAGGTTTTAGGAGATTGCCCGACTCATCGTAAACATCGCAACGAATTCCCTCCTACCACGCTAGAGAAAAGCGTGCATAGGTTGTTGTTCGTCGCGTTGCAAGCGCCAAAATAGATTTTCTTAACTTTAGAGAGCATTATGCCTTCACGATGGTTGGTAACGATGATGTCAGGGAACGCAAATCGAGACACAAAAGTTTCTCTTTCCTTTTTTTTAATATTTCTTTTTTTTTCTTTTCTTCTCTCTATCTCTCACACACACAAGTATTACATATATATACATTTAAAACTAATGATCATTAGTTTTAACTAATAAGAAAATTAGTGACATCAATCACATTAACTAATAATGCTAATACACGAAAATGAAATATACAAAAACGAAGGGAAACCTACTGTTTGATTTGCTGTTGGGGTGGAGAGTTGGAATGGGTGTGTAAGCAGTTGAAAATGTTGCCTAACGGGCTGATTTGAGTGAGATGGACTATTTGAGTAAGCTTGGGAGTGTAGTAGGTTGATTTAGGCTAAGGGTTTAGGTTTTAATGGGGTTTGGCTATATGAGATTAGAATAGATCCCCTTTGCGTGAGCTAGAGGCGTGAGGGCTAAGAGGGGCAATAGGGGTTGGTTGCAAGGCAGAGATGGCTCAGTTAAATGGAGTTTGCGATGGCCTGGAGCATGGAGGAGACGGAGGCTGCAAGTTTGGTTCGGTCGTATGAGGCTTTGCGACTTGGGCTTAAAGTCGACACAAACAGAGAAGGTGACTAGTAGAGGCAGAGAGAGGTCGGAGGTTTGCGTCCAAGGAGATCAGGGTAGACAGAGGGATCAACTCTCTGGGCTGAAGGGATCAGAAGGGTTGCCCTTGGCTTGAAGAGGTGGAGGCATCGGACTTGGGAGATCGAAGGGAGATGGAGTCGGGGTCGAGGTCGCGGGTTCTTGTGCGATGAAGGACGTTTTTCTTGGGCTTGTAAGGCTCAACGGGATGGGAAAGGGTCGAGCATCAGGGAAGATCGGGAGGTTCAGATGGAGTTTGGGAGAGACGTCGGTCTTCTTGTTGGTTGCGACAGGGAAATGCAAAGGAAGAAGTCTCAGGCCCTGCTCCTCGCCATTTTAACGAGAGTACGAGCCTACGCGGGAGAAATTTTGCTCCCAAGCACGTGTGAGATGACGGAATCGGCGCCGCTCACAAAGGTATGGGGAAGGTACTATAGCAGACTGTGGCTGATTTGGCAAGATTCAGTAGAGTTCGACAGAGGCATAACAGATATTTGAGGTAAGATATTTTATATTTCTTTTATTTGATTTGATGATTTCGCTTTGGACTCTACTAGAGGTCAACAGTATTATATGCTTACTAAGTTGTATTATAACTCACCCCTATTACTGAGCAATCATACAATGGTATCATCCAACAAAATTTAAATAAGTGGACGAGAAGAAGACGTATACCATAGGCGCAACACTCCAAGAGAGATATTTATTTGAAATAGTTATTTTATTTTTCCTTTTAAAATACATTTGAAGTTTTAATATCTCTATTAATATAATGTAAATAATTTGTTGTTAGTAGATTTAGCAAACAAAAAAATAAATATCATCCAACCGCCTGTTAATGTCTCATTCATTCGAGTCTTTGGGCCAGGTCGTGACACAATATGCTGGACAAGAAAACAGTAATCAATTAGGCACATCAACCACAAAGTATGTTCCTTACCTTGTTCAGAATCAACTCCTCTAGCTCTTTCTTAAGGGTTATAAAGGTATATGCTAAATCTGGTTTCATGAAGAATTCAAGGTAGCCACCTAACATCTTTAAGTGTCCATCCTGTCAAAGAAACCACTTAATGAACAAAGCGTTTAAAAAGATGCACATAAAACCAATTGAGAAATAACAGAGAAAAGTCAACATACAAGCCCGCCCCTGCAAATGTTCCCTCCAAATAGCAGTAATACTGAATCAGAAATTGCAGTTGAATCCCTAAGAAATACGGAGTTCACCTTAACTTTCTCGTTAAAAACTAACCACGGGTAAGGAATCTTGGCCTCCTTTCCATTGACAGAGCTCTAAAAGAAGTGATGAAGCGTGTAAAATAACAATGACATTGTGAACTACTAGTTAATAATAGCATACAAAAACCAAGGTTAAACTTACAGAATAAAGCATGACTTGCCCATCCTCCATAGTCTTCAAAGCTATGGATCTCTCCTTGTTCTGCACAAGTGTTTGGGGATTTAGTCCATTCTCAAACATAAAACAATAATGGTTTATTGTCTCAATGGGTCTTCACTAATCAAGTATTTACATCATAGTCAAGTTTCTTAAGTTTATGAAAATACATGAAAGCATGTCTAAGCTCCACATAGATAGCGTCTCCCGGAAGAAATGGAAGAACATGTCGCAAGGGAAAACATCATAACCAGAATATGCCGATCAATTGGAGTGCAAGTGAGACAATACGATCAAAGTACAAGCAAAGTAAGAACTTACCACAACTGAACAAATTCCAGGAAAGAGGCCAGCACATATAACTGCCCGGACAAGGTTCTCATCACGAGACCAAATGTTGTATGACATCAAGTTCTCATCAACAAGACCAGCATCCTTAAGCAGAAAATGGAACTGCTTTCTAAGAGAATCAATTGCCTTCATAGTCTGAGCAGAAAGAAAGTTCTTCCAGCAGTAATCATATCCAGAATGATCCCTCTCAGCATCTTTCCAACCCTCATAGGCCCGAATAAGTGCAAGATGGTCACTGTAGTCCCGGCAAGAAAACTGAGACTTTGCAGAATCTGCAAGCTGCGTGAAAAGTCAAACTTATTATTTCTACCCTTCCCTAGGAAGATATAATGACATTTGACTTTAGATATGTCAAGAATGTGATTTCACATCATAAAGCATAAAAAAAATGTCTTCCTGCGGCTCAATAAATAAGCGAAAAAAGAAAGTAATAAGCTTAGATGATGCTTCAATTCTTCATATTGCGACTGCTCCATAAGAAGTAATACTAAAGGATGTCTTCTGACTAAACTTAATAAGAATAAGTTGTCCAGTGAAACAATTGTTTATAAGCAACGTTTTAAAATGTAAAATTGTAACTATAACCAAAATTATTATATATAATAAGATTAGTGCGGATGTTTCTTAAAGGCATCATTACCCAATACTCGAAATAATAAGGCAAGCTTTAAATAACAAAAATATTCTAGTCCCAAAAAAAAACCAACACAAAAACTCAAGCAACATATTAGGTGGATAAAAGAAAACTCATCCCAAGAAAAATGGATGACCCTTATAAACTTCATTGGTTAACCTGTATAAAAGTGAGAGTCCAAAAGGTTTTTGTTATATATATATATATATATATATATATATATTGGAGAGTGTAGCATTATCTTTATATGTAATGGGCCATAGATAAGATAAAGATTATGTGATAAGAAAGCAAGTTATGCTATGATCTATGTATGAAGATATAACTTCTATATGAGCATAGTTGTGCATGGAAAAAATGAGAATGTTAAGATGGTAGTATGAAAAAAAAAAAACTAGGAAAGACAAATGGAGAAATGATTATGTTAGAAAAATGATAAGAGTAGCATCCATTAAAGATAAGGTAGTAGAATATAGACTTATGTGGTTTAAACATGGACTACAACAGGTAGAAAATTATGCTCAAGGCTAATAAAAAGAATTAGTGATGATAGGAACTGAATGAGGTGGATAGAGCAAAAGTAACACGTAGAACTGGTGAATGAAAAATAAAAATTCATAAACAAAAACTAAAATAGTTTGTGTAAGGCTAATGATGATGATGGTGATGATGAATTCATCAATAACAAATGATGCAAATGTAACATCATGCTCATCTATGCATACATGATAACATGAGTAGAAACACAGAATGAGACATAATTTAGACATGAATTATAAGTGAATAAAAATTCTAGTAAATAAATCAAACAAAAAATTGTTGAGATATCCTAACAACTGCTTATATTTTCAACAAAATAGCCAGCTGTACAGAAGTTGTTCACTATTTAATGAAAAATCATCCATCTAAAGGTTATCAGATATAAAACTAGGAGAAAAAAAGAGAATCGGCAAGCTACCCAAGCAAAACAAAAATGACTTTGACCTTTCAAATGCCAGCCCAGTTCCGAAAAAAGCATCTTACTAGAGTGTCTTAAGCACTCGCAAAGACAGCATCATAACATTAAAAGCTTAGCATAATCAGGTTCAACATGAACAGTTAAATGACCATACAAGTTATGTTGAAAGACCAATCAAGTGTTTATCCAAGCCCAAGATATATTTAATACCATATGAAGGCTTATCTACAAGGTTAGGTGTTAAATTCAGAGAATTAGAGAGGAAAAAGACTTAATTTTATTGCACAAAATTATCCATATTTATAGATCTATCCAAGATAACTTAATAAAGAAACAAATAATTACAAAATCATGCATAATTGCTCTAATATAATCCTTCCTAAATCAACCAACAAAATATGGAAGGAGATCGGCGTGGTCTAGGTGAGCCTCCCATTGATTCACATCATAGCCATGGGATCAAAATGCCAAGGGACGGCTGGAATTTAACAGGTGAGTCTCCCACGGATTCCCAACCTAGTCGTGGGATCAAAATGCTAAGGACGACTAGAATTTAACACTCCCACTCAAGCTGGGGAATGCAGATTTGTCATTCCCAGCTTGGTAATCAGTCCCAAAAAGATAGAGTTATCGAGTCCCTTGATAAGAATATCTACAAGCTGATCTTTTGATGAGACATGATCGATACATATAAGACCAATGTCTAATTTCTCCTTTATGAAATGTCTGTCTACTTTTTTTGTGATTGGTCCTATCATGTTGAACCGGATTATGAGCTATCCTGATTGTTGACTATTGTCACAGTGTAGCTTCATGGGTCCTTCCTAATTACTCATTACATCTTCTAGAATCATCTTGATCCATAACAGCTCACATATTCCTAAGGGCATACCTCTGTATTTTGCTTTTGCACTAGACATTGCCACCACATTTTGTTTCTTGCTCTGCCATATAACAAGGTTTCTTCCAAGAAATGTACAGTATCCTAAGGTAGATTGTCTATCTACTAGTGATCCTGCATAATCTGCATCAATATATGCTTATGAGATTATTCCACATTCTCTTTTGAAAAGAATCACTTTACTTGGGTTCCCCTTAAGGTAATGTGTCTAAAGCTTGCATGTGAGTCTACTTTGGATTTTGCATGAACAGGCTGACCATGCTTATAGCAAATGCTATGTCTAGTCCGGTGTGGGAAAGGTAGATTAATTTCCCCCGCAAATCTCTGATAAGATCCTTTATCTACATTTGGATCCTTTTTAGCATCACCCAATTTGAGATCTGGTTCTATTGGTGTTGGTGCTAGTTTGTCAGTTTTTTTAAAAAGATCATTAATGTATTTTTATTGTGAAATAAAGATTACTTTGCTGGAGTGGGCCACTTCAATTCCAAGAAAATATTTTAATCTACCAAGATATTTGATCTCAAATTCCTTAGCAAGACATTTCTTTAAAATCACTTTCTCATTTTCATCATTCCCGATCAAGATGATATCATCCACAAAAACTAATAGAATTGTCACTTCCCCTGAGTCTAAGTGATTGAAGAATAATGTATGATCCCCTTGGCTCTGTCGATAACCATTAAGTAGCATAACTTCTAAGGGCCTGCATTTCATCTTTTATGACATTTTTATAATTTCATTAGATAAGACCTCAGAAATATCATTAAGAATATGAATATCATTCAGTGTAACAAGAAATTTTTTTTCTGAAGGTGAGAAGTTATGGAAGGATACAAAGTTGATTATAAGGTATAATGGAGAATTTTTTGGTTACCTTATGTTTACCTCAATTTCAGGAGACATCAGATTTTTGGATCTGCTTTAGAGAAAAATTTGGATTTGTACGCCTGGAATACACTTGCCCAAATCTCCTGTTATCCATAATAGCATTATTTTCAATTTTCCTGGCTTTGATTTTAGGTTTCTGTGGATTAAATTGAGGTGGAGCAAGAAGGTCAAGGGGAGCAAGTTTATTTTCCTCATCTTCCTCAATTTCAATCTCCCCTTAAAGTGAAATTTGGTAAAATAGGAATTTTATTGATCAAAGGTAACATCAACAGATACAAGAGTTTTCTTAGTGGAGGGATGATAACACTTATAACTTTTTAGGATAGATGAATATCCAACAAATATATGTTTGAGTGCTCTTGGATCTAATTTTCCTCTATTTTAACTATGAATGTGAACATAGACAGTGCACTCAAAAATTCTGGGTGTAAGGTTTTATGGGTTCGAAATTCGGGATAAAAAGATGATATAATATCCATTGGTGTTTTCAGTCCCAAAGTTTTTGATGGTGGTCGATTTATGAGTTTTGTGGCCGTCAGAAGGGTTACCCCCAATTGGATTTGGGTATATTGTGTTGGAATAAAAGTACACGGGTGGATGCTAGAAAGTGGTCATTTTTCCTTTCTGCAACCCCGATTTATTGTGAGGTGTAAATGCAAGAAGACTCATGAATGATACATTCTTTTCGAAAGTAGGACGATAGGGTTTGATTAAAATAATCTTTAGCATTGTCTGAAATAAATTTTTTTATTTTTACCCTGAATTGATTCTAAATCATGGTATGAACAATGGGAATGATAGTCTTAACCATCGATTAAAAAGGCGTTTGAGGCGGACGCCTCGAGGCACGCCTCGAATCGAGGCGGAGGTCGGGCGAACTGAGGCTTAAGCCTCGAACGTCCGGGCGAGGCTTACGCCTTTTTCCACGGAGGCGTATGCCTCAATACGCGAGGCGCCGAGGTGCATCGAGGCAGCTCCTCGAAAGGGAGAAAGTTACCTTCAAAGCCAACGAGCTCCCGTTGTTTCTTCTTATCAAAATGTCGTAACTTATGATCCGACAGGAAGGGAAAGTCGTCGAAGGAGCGCAGTCGAACTGCTACAAAGGAGCCAAAGAAGCGACGCGTGTAATCTCTACACCTCCTATGAAGCAACGAAGCCGAACAACAAGGACGAAAAGAGAAGATGAAAGGCAAACCCTAGACGCAGCTAAGTTATTATTGATTAACTTAATTAATATAATTTAAATATTAATAATTAAGCAAATTAATTAAATACTTAATAGTATAATTAGTGCATAAATTAATTGACTAATTATTAACATAATTATTAATTAAATATTAATATAATTAGCCTAGTTAATATAAATTAAAATATATATATTATTAAATATATAATTAATAGTATTAATAATAATTATTGAGTAGCATGTACCGCTCAGTACATGCTCGGTACCAAGCCAGTACCACTCGGTACTGAGCAAGTATATGCTCGGTACATGCTCGGTACTACTAGGTACACGCTCGGTACCACTAGGTACACGCTCAGTACCACTAGGTACACGCTCGGTACCAAGCCAGTACCACTAGGTAAATGCTCGATATTGCTCAGTACATGCTTGGTACCGAGCCAGTACCGCTCAGTACCGAGCGGTACATGCTCGGCACTGTTAATTACTTTATTTTTATCATTTTTTAGGCTTACGCCTCGATCCGCCTCGAGGCTTACGCCTCGCTTCGCTTAGCCAAAACGCCTCGATTCCCGATTTCGCCTTTTAAAACGTTGGTCTTAACATCGAATTTGTTTTAGGAGAAAGATCCAAGAGACTCGAGTGCCTCCATCAGTAAATGATACAAACCATCGGGCTTCTGAGATATTAGGAATTTTTTAGGGTCCCCACATATCAATATGAATAAGATAAAAGGGAGTATTACATCTCTCAAGTTTATTTGGAAAAAAACTCGTTTATGCTTGGCTAACTCACATGTATTACAATGAAAAGATTCATTTTCCAACTTATAAAAAAGTTTTTGGTACATATTTCTTAAGACATCAAAAGATGGATATCACAATCTAAAATGGTGAAGCCAAATAGTTGATTTTTTATTAAATAGGGATAGCATAAAATAGCCATTATTGATAATACTAGATTTATTTGGCTCTTCCAAGTAGTACAATCCATCTTTCTCCTTAGCAAGTCCAACCTTCTTATTCGATCTCTAATCCTAAAATAAGCAACAAGTAGGGTTAAATAAGACTTGACAATTATGATCACCAGTAAGTTCTTGTATGAAGATTAGGTTTGTGGATAATTGAGATACGTGCAGCACATAATTTAGAGTGAATGAGGGAGATAAGGGTATGTCTCATTGGCCTACTACTGTGGTAAGAGAACCATTAGCAATGATTATTTTTTCGTCACTTAGGCAAGGAGTATAATTTATGAAGTGGGTAGTGGAGTGTGTCATGTGATATGTAGCTCCTAATTCAATAATCCACAATCCTTTCAAACGATTTCTAGGTACTTAATCCAATGGATATAGAAAACTTACCTAAAAGTGCAAGAGAAGATGCAGGTTGTTTTTCAAGGGACATCAGAAGTTGTTTTAGTTTATCAATATCTTATTTATTAAGATCTCTGAAGCTGGACTGCATTTATGGGTTAGACTGACTTGTTTTAGTGTTGGCTTGTGATGTGCTCTTTTACAACTTCTTTGATTCCACTCCTTAATTGGAGGCTTTCCATGTATCTTCTAACATGTTGTATTTGTTTCTGGGTTAGACATTAAATGTTAAAATTTATTTGGAGAATCTTTTGCAACTGCATATGTAGTTTGTCGTAGTCTGAAGAAACTTTTCTACAAGATGCATATTAGCATTTTGATAGCAAATAACCAATATAAATCCAGAAAACTGATAGATTTCAGAAAAAAAAAAATATAGAGCAGGTTTTGCAAAAACTGTAGAAAAATATGAGAACATCACTTGAAATTCACTAGAGGACGAAGAAAAACAACAATATCTCTATTCCAGAGGAGGATCAATCTCTCCCAAATCTCTAGACGCCGCTAGAGCCCAAAGAAAACCTAGATCTAAGTGATCTCAAATTTCAGCCAAATTCAAGATGCCCTAACCCTAGGAAAACAAACTATTTAATGCATACAAATTCAAAAGGAAATCTCTAAACAATCCCTATATTCAATTTCTCTCCTCAACTTCCTCAAAAAACTTCCCAAACTACTTTACGTTGCTCTACGCGTCTAATCGGGTGTACAGGAGGCGGAAGATTTCTGCCTCTGTTAGCGCCTGGGTCGGTCCCGTGTGAACTGGATGGACCGGTCCAATTGACCAGTCTAATAATACTGCCCTCCCAAAGATCCACCTTGTCCGCAAGGTGGAAAGACGACACCCTCCTCCATTCCTTCTTACTCGCAAACGGTAATAACCTAAAGAGTTCGGTCCTTACACTTGTGCCCTGCCGTATGCCTCTCGTCACATCTGAAACAGATCCCCTTCGCCCTCTTCTCCCATAATTCTATTTCTGTGAGCTTTTTGAAGTTGTCCCTAGGTTTTCCTCTAGTAGTCTTCTCCTTCGAAGTCTCTCTAAGAGTACCCGTTGTTGGCTACTTGGGTGCCAAAAAGGTGGTGGTCATCTTGTACGAACCTACTAAGTTACTACCTCCAGTTTCTCTCTCCAAGTGCCTTTGATCCTCCACCAACTGAGCTAGTTTCATAGCCTCTCCCAAGTCACAAGGCCTCATTACTCTAACCGCTGATCGGATCTCTAGTGTCAGTCCCTTCATGAAATTTCTCTCTAGCCCTATTTCAGGAAGGCAGCCTAATCGTCTAGCAAGGTATTCGTATCTCTCCCAGTAAACCGCCATTGAACCCTCCTGTGTCAAGGCGAAGATTGCTTGTAGAAGTCTCTTCCCATGTCAGTTCGGAAACGTTCTACCAAAAAATCCTTGAACTCTTGCCAACTTCGTATAGGTCGTCGCATGTCCTTCCACTGATACCAAGACAAAGCCTTCCCTTCCAAACATAGGCCCGCCGCCGTCAGTCTTTCCTCCTCTGTCAACCCGTTAACGATGAAATATCTTTCTACCTTATAAATCCACCCGTGTGCATCCTCCCTCTCAAATATTGCCATCTTCAGTTTCCTCACCCTCGGGTCACACCTGTTTCCCCTAAATCTTCCATAACCCCCCATTCCTCGAAGAGATGGTGCTCCCCAATTGTCACGATCTTCCCTCTAGCAATCATACCCAAACCCTTTATCAAAATCCCCTCTTCTTCTTTCAAAATCAGCATCCCGACGATCGAAATCATCCCCTCTCCTTACAAATTCAACACCCATTCTTGCGTAACTAATGCTCATCTCCTCCGTAGAAAGTGGTTCTAGAGAAAGCATTCCATATTCTCCCTCCAAAATCTCCATTTCTAGATTTTCCCTTCCCCTAAACGTATTAGGGTTCTCATCTATTCCATGGATGTCGGTAGTTTCATTTGCTTCCGATGTCACTGGTTTGATTTTGACTTCGAGCAATTTCCTCAACATGTCTTCCACCATGGCGAACTTTTCATCCATCACTTCATTGACGGATGCAATTTGATTTTGAAAATCAGCCATTTTCTCCTCAAAATCTGCTTTGAGTTGCCCAAGTTCTCCCTCCAAAACTTTCATTTTCCTTCCGCCCATTGGTTCCCCTTCGATCGACGTGCTATGATACCAATTTGATAGGAAACGATCACTATAAATCCAAAAAACTACTGGGTTTTACGAAAAAAAAAAGCAGCTCTACTGTAGGTTTTGTCAAAACTGTAGGAAAGTATGAGAAAATCACTTAAAATTCACTAGAGGACGAAGAAAAACAGCAAGATACAATTGATCCTCTATTCGAGAGAAGGATCGATCTCTCCCAAATCTCTAGACGCCATTAGAGCCCAAAGAAAACCTAGATCTAAGTGATCTCAAATTTCAACCAAAATCAAGAAAACAAACTATTTAATGCATACAATTCAAAAGGAAATCTCTAAATAATCCCACATTCAATTTCCCTCCTAATCTTTCTCAAAAAAACTTCCTAAACTGCTCTACGCGTCCGATTGGGTGTACAGGAGGCGGAAGGTTTCCGCCTCTGTTAGCGCCTGGGCCGGTCCCGTGTGGACCGGCTAGACCGGTCCAATGGACCGGTCTAACTCATCCATCTCTTGATTGTTCTCAATTTTTCAAAGAACATCTCATTCTACGGTCAATTGGATTAAATTGGCAACTTCAAAAAGCTATTAAATAGCTCTTAGCATAAATCACTTGATTTTTTTTGCATGTAAACTCTCGAAACACGTAACATCATGAGTTTACGGGATGATGTTAAAAGTAATAAGAATTATTTTGTTATCATATTAATATAATCATTTAGGATTAATATTCATTAGAACTTTATAGTACTAAATTAATAAATTATGCTAGATTATATTTTTTTTCATGACATTTTCAAGCACTAAATCTCTATGCAATTAATCCTTCTTATGCCATATGATCTCTAGATCTTGATCTTGTGATGATTTCTTGATAGTCATCATGATTTGATACTTATTGTGCTTGATGCACTCAAACCCTTGATCTACTTTAATAATATGTAGCCCTTGATCTTGTGACGGAAAAATTTTCTAATCACCAAGTCTTCATGCATTTCATTCTCTTTGCGCTACATGAATCCCAGTCATCGATCTTGGAAATCATCATGATGTTCTATATCACTTTCATAGCATAGGGCCATATTTAATATACTATTAAATGGATGACTGAACTGAACATGATGCATATGCCTGTTGGGGTGGGCGTGGGAAGAAATAAATTTCATTATATTAGAGAGAAAAACTAACATTAACAGAGAATAGTAGGATTTATGTTACTCACATCCTTCTTGTCAAATGGGGTAAGGAATGGATCTCTAACACTTAGACCAGCAACGACAGTCAAAATGGGATCCAGGCATCTGAAAATAGCCCCAAAGATGAGCATCTTCCCAAGTTTTGGTTCAACTGGTAGAATTGCTAGGTGCCGTCCTGAGACAAGAGTAGAATTTAGCAATATGGGATTACAAGTTTCTAATCATTTGATAAAAAGTAATGTATACTAGATACGAGGAAACAAGTAGAAAGACCTAGAATGGTTAATTCCTGCTTCTCATCTAATGCACCGATAACTTTCAGATATTCAATAGCATTTTGGACCTAAAAAGCAAATCAAGTGGCAAGTGATGAATCATAACAGCTATCATGACCTCGAATATAATAAATAATCACATGAAAAAAAGTGTATAAATAATGGGAATTATAAATGACCAAATTGGCTCTGTTGTTTTAGTAGTATAATTGATATGCAAGAAAAATAGAGTTGACCATACAGATAATGCTTCGGGAGATTGCAAAGCCCTTGATAAGAACTCCGATATGCTTCCAAGCCTTAGGCTTTTGATTTGCAAACAAAGAGACTGTAATGGTGTCCTTAGAAGTTCTGGTAATTGGTAGTCTGCAAAAACGTCATACACACATTTTGGATACAGATGATAACATTCCCCGGGTTGCACACGACCAGCTCTTCCTCTTCTCTGCATCATCAATGAAGCAAAGCTACAGACAAAGCTATCACAAAATCTAAGCAAAGCTGCAATTTATGCCTTGAAAAGATGCATTAACCATAAACTAATTATTATAAAGGAAACCATGAAGAACGTTAGATTAATTACAAAACTAGTCCAGCGCCAGAAATACCTGTCGAGCAGAAGCCTTGGAAATCCATGTTGGAAGCAAACATGGGGTATTGTTTAACGCATCATACGATGTTTCTTTTGCCTTCCCACAATCAACAACAAAAACAACATCATTTATGGTGATACTTGTCTCAGCCATGTTTGTAGCAAGGACTATTTTTCTGGCTCCATTTTGTGGCTTATCAAATATTAATCTCTGTTTCCAAACAAAAATGCAAAACTATTCAGACAAAAATTTTGATTAGGATATATAGAATCATGGCATTGCAGAGAGTTGAATAATGATAGCTTCTATATGTTCCACAACTAGGAACAAAAAGGATTACCATCTACGAGGTGGTTGTATGATGTGAAACATATGCATGGAAACAAGAACTGCTTGGGGATTTTTAATATAAGATTATTAAAACTTTGCTAGTTATAGAATTAATGCTTACCCAAGTTAGGTTTTAAGAATTCTCAAGTCGAAATTATGTAAGGCATGCGGTTTCAACTAGATTAACGGGGCAATATCAAATTGACAACATATAAATAGAGAGTAATGTTATGGTGAGAAACAATAATCCATGGTTAACAAATATAACTCTTCACCTTGGGTCCCTCACTCACGCTCTTGATGGTGGAGCTTTAACGGAGGAAGATTGAGAGCAAATCGAGCGATGCCACTAGGAGACAAATGGCGCCCAAAGTGTAGTCCGTTGGAGAAGTAGCCGAAGGCGGGTAATCCACGGGTTGACTAGTTAGCATGATACTTCTGGACAGTGACTGGGGATATTCTGGGCAGCAATGGATCAATTCCGAATGGGCAGGACAGCAGTTTTCCTGGTTCAAAAGTTCGGGACAGCCACTAGAATCTTTCCAGAATTCTGGAATTAGTTCAGGACAGCAGCTGAACTTTTTCCTGGACAGCAATGGAGTTGTCTAGGATTTCTGGACAGCATGCATGTTCTGTCCAAGGATTTGGACAGCCCGTAGCAACTTTAGGAATGGGGAAAATCCATGAGGACGGGGCTTGGAGAAGGCAGTTAAGGCTGCGGGAGATTAGGTGTTTGATTGGAGAATTAATTTAGGGACAATTAATGGGGTGGGGCTACGGGAAGATTTAAATTCAGCTCCAAGTGGTTTTGGAGGGAGATTAATTTGAAATTTCAAATTAATTCATTAATGACAAGGAGCGTTAATTGAGGAGGTAATTGGGGCTGATTTGGTGGAGCTTTTAATTTAATTTGGGAGAGAGAAAAACCAATTAAAGGGGGCCGGCCACATGGAGAGAGGAGAGCACAATTGTCATAAGTAAAGTGGGGACCACAACTTTAATCAAAGATTTAATTAAAATCTGAATTGATTCTCAGATTTTTTTTTTTAAATAGGAAATTTCCAAATAGATGAGTAATCAATTGGGGGAGATTTGAATTTCAAATTTGTGTAACTCCTCTTAATTAATTTTCCAAATTAATATGGCTTAATTAGGAAATTCATTAAGAGAGGGGAATTCAAAATTCAAAGGGGAGAGCTAGAGGGGGCCGGCGGCAAGGGGGTCCAATGGGTGGCCGGCGGGTGGTGCTTGGGAATGTGGAGTTCGAATGGACTTAGAGGTGGTATTTCGGAGGTGGGGTGGTGGTGGAGATGTGGAAGAACGCCGGAAGTTGAAGATGGAGGAATGAAGAAACAAATACGATAAAAGTAAAAATAACGAACTCACAAAGAGATCGTAAGAACCGCGAATCTTGGACTCTTCCAAAGATTGACGGGTATTGCAAATCACCCTCCTCGGGCTTCCCTCATGAACTCACTAAGAGATCAAACAAGCACAAGCTTTTTTTCATTCAATAATTCATCATCTCATACAATGCATGAGGCCTCCTATAAATAGACCAAAATGAAACAAAAACTAAAAGACATAAATACCCTCGGGGCTATAATATCAAATGACCACCCATAAGGGTAAAACAGTAAAAATGAAAAATAAAATAAACAACTATATAAAATGACTCAAAATAAAACTCCTGCTCGTGGCCATCGATTTCTGGCATCTCCGATGGCACACGTGTCAAAATCGCTGACGATGTCCTCATCATTGTATGTACTCGGGTGGCGTGAGGATAGGATGCAGGACTGGGTTGTTAAGTGTATGGGTGTGCGTGTGAATTAACTTTTAAATGAAAGAGACCAGAGGCAAACCTACTACAATAAGAAAGCTTCTTTTATTTTATATATTCGTTTGAACAGCACATCAAGCTCGAAAACTACAGTTCAACATTGCCGGAGCTAGCTTGACAAGGCAACAGTGACAATTAATTGGAAACAGCTAATGTCTAATAAACATAACGTGGAACTTTAACGCTTGCATCCATCCAAAACTTTATCACTTGCATCCATGCAAAACAATGGGACGCCAAAACAAATGAGTATGCCTATGGTAAAAATCTTGCATTCACACAATTCTACATCTGTGATGTAGAACTAAATTGTGGAATAATAGACGGTCATACTCAAGTTCATTTTTCTTTTGGAATTCATTATATTCTTAGAATTATTATAATCGATTTCAGTAAGTTCTTGTGATTTATTAACAGTTTTTGGTCTAGAAATTCATAAATAGATTGTACTAATCATTTAATAGTTATTTCTTCTATTCATAAATATGAGAATTCTAAGCAAGCAAGGCAATTCAAAACATGAATAAAATTCTTATAATAGATGAAGAGAATCTTCATCTATTTAGGGACTTTGATCCTTGATCAAGAATTAAACCTGATAGAGATAATATCTTCCCATAAGTAGGAAGATTTCTTTCTGGTGCTTGTTTTCCTTCTTTCTTTTCTTCACTTATTTCTTCTTTTATATTTGTTTTGTTATTACCCAGATTTGTAACAATCAAGATTTCTGATTAAGTTAATTCAATAGGGTGCATGGATTTCTTAATATGTATTGAAGCCATTAATATTGCTTAGAGGATGAAGTGGGTGCAGGAAAACATTTCTAGATATAGAATAATTCCACCTTTAATTTTCTTAACATTGAATTTGCACCGATACCTACACAAATATACTCCAAAAGTTTGCACTAGAATCAATTCCTGCATTTGAATCTTAAAATAAATCCGAAAATCTAAAACTCAAATTATGCAAGAAAACATATTAAAACCAAAATTTAAAGGCATCTGAATCCATCCATGAATGTAAAACTAAAAAGATCGCACATGCCAAAGCAGTAAAATCAATAGAACAGATTGATATGTAATTCCGTAGAAACTATTTAATTACATGATAAATAAATAAGCATATCAAATGCATTTTTGGTTCATGGTTCCATAATTTATAAATTTATCAACAAAACCTTCTTCAAAGACTCAAATTACTTAAACATGATCTTAATTTGATTAATAACAACTACCTTCAAGCAAAACTAAAAGTTAAAACTCCATTTGTTTAGTTGAATACAGAGATATATAGTTAATCATGATTAATCTTTTTAACTATTTGGATTACTTTTTTAAGATAGGTTATGCATCCATCTAATATACACCTTCTATTTGTATCAAATCTAAATGGTTTGCTACTTATTAAAAGAAGAGTTTATGGAACCCAATAAACATAATTTTAAAGATTCGTTTATATTCTCCCGCTCTTATGATTTTTAGTCTATATGATGTGGATGAGAAGCAACAGACGCATCTACAAGAAAAATAGAGCATGGTTCTTGTGTTTGTTAGCCTTGGGTTTGTCTGCACTTAGTTCACTTAAGGAAGAGAGGAAAGAAAAAAACTTGCAATGAGTTTCTCGTAGAAAAGAAGGGGGCAAAGGAGAATCGAGCAAGGAGAAATAACTCTCACAAAACTTGGCATATCAATTAAATACACAACAGGTACTAATATCCTGAGGTTTTTGAAGGGCCCAAAAGATCTAGAATGGTGTTTTTTCAAAAACTTGGCATGAAAATATTCAGAACAAATTCAAACTAAACATGGTTTTCTTTGTCAACTCCTAAAATACCTTGATGAGCAATGTGAACCAACTTCTAATCATAAAAAATAAAAAATAAAATAAAATAAAAACAACTTCTAAGCATTCATTTTGTTAAGATGTAGGTATCTGAGAGTACTATGTAAAGAACGTAATGAATAGATGTACCTATTTGAGAGTACAATGTTAGTCTATGCAAAGAATGTATTGGTTAAAGTTCTCTTTTAATTCTTTTATGGTAAGGCTTGGCATGATGTGAACATCTAACAATCATACAAGAATTGAAAAAAGAAAGAAGAGAAATATGAGAATCCAATATGAAAATCACAAACTTTGTGCTACAAGCAAGCTTCTGGTGACAGGATCACGAGATAACTGACATTTTGAGGATGCCAAAACACCCAAAAAAAGGGAAGATACAGGGAAGAAGAAACAGGAAAGGAAGAAAAACAAGAAAAAGAACCATTACATTCATATACGCAGCTTCACCTACATATCAAAATACCCACTAACAATGTAACATGTGGCAGCTCACTAACGAACAAGAAAAAGACATCTCTTATTCATTTAACCTCACAAAAATAGCCACCTACAATCACCCTTTCCCCGCTTACTAGTCCTTAAGCGATACTGGTGGATTCCAGTGTAAAGGTAAGTTATTTGTGACCTCCTCATTGGCATGGCCCGCAACACTTTGTAACATGAATTAAGCATTAGCAACTAATACTCGCAGAGATCCATACGAATGAGCAAATTTGAACATATTTAAAAGCGTATAAAAGATCAAAAGGGCAAATAGAGGCTAGAAAAAGTCTGTAATTGCTGTCCACAAAAGGTTTGGACCGCAAAGCGGGATTTTGAATAGCAAAATTGTTGCTTGGAAGTGTGAAATTTCAAGTTCTAGCACAGTAAAATAGCAGGTATGTCCAAAAAATTAAGGGGAAAAAAAAAAGATATCTGATAAGGTAATGGATACATGAGACAGCATAAGTCCAAAAATTGCTCGACCCAGGACTAATATATAAATATAACAGCCGGAATTTCATCAGAAAAAAAAAAAAAAAAAGAGTATTCGCAAGTAAGAAAGGGCACAAAACAAATTCAACAAAGCATCAATTATTCTAGAGAATAAGTACAACAAAAAGAAACAAGTAAATAAAATAAGTAATTATTATAGAGATGGAGAGCATATTTTGTGGGCTCATTTGGTTTAGAAGTATTGAAAAAAAAGTGTGGAACATATTCTCGATTTTGTCAAGGATTTTATTGGGGCATGGAGCCCTTAGAAAGGTATCATGATTTTCAATGAAATAAATCATAATGCTTGTTTCCTCATTGAAGCTTCAAATCATGATTGGGGCTTCTTAGAAAATTTAATTGCAAACTCTCACAAAACTACATATGTAAACCTTAGATCTACGACCTCTGAGGTGGGTGGCGAACCTCCCAACCAATAGGTTGAGATGGGCTGCATGGGGGAGGAATAAAAGGGACAGGCATCTGATTCTAGAGTTAGAATTTTAGAGTTGGTGGTGGTGGGTATGCTGGATTTTATCAATGTAATGTTTCAATTCTCCAAATATCAAGAGCTCCAAAGTTCATAGCGCACTCTTCACACAACAAATCAACTTTGAAGTTAATTTATTCGCTCGGCCAGTCGCGGAATGAGTAGGAAACACCATAAGAACCCAATATCTCAATAGCACCTTTGTCTAAAATTTGGAATGAGACTGAAACACAGAATCAATCTAACTAGAAAATCATTCAAATTTTGATAAAAAAATAGCTTATGGAAGACAGTAAAAAGTTTATTACAAAAAGGACAAAAAGCATTTTGCTACTTCAATTACAATAGTTTATCATTGATGCCATTGTTTTTTATGCCAAATGATGAGAACAAGATAACATGAAACTCCTCTTCATTAAAAAGAGAATATGATTCTTGTTTTAGTAGGTCAGGCAATGTTGTGCATTCAACATTTTAGAGTCAAATTGATGCGGACATTAGTACGAAGATTTGGCACATCTATCAAAGGAGGCATCGTAAATCTACGGCTATAATTTAAATCTTCAATTATGAGTTATTTTTCTGAATTTTAGTTTTTATTTGATGTATTTCCTGTTTTACCCCTAGGTTGAATTATGTGAGTGTTGTGGCCCAAGGGCAATTTTGTATTTTGAGTTTTCTTATGTTGTGGCCTATATATAGGATCTTAAGCTATTGTAATAGGGAGAGATTATTGATATTAAAAATTTGTGTTCAACACTTATGTTCTTTTGAAAGGACGATAGTGAGATTCCTATGGGAAGGAATCGGAGTTTTCACCAGTCGCTGGATGGGTCCGGGCTCGTGACTTGAAGTCCCTTGGAGAAGGGCAAAGCATCACCCGTTAGTCTTCGGAAGAGTCCAAGGCTCGCGGTTTTTATTTTCTTTCTTTTGTTTTTGTTTTTGTTTCTTCTTATTGCCCCTCGTAGTCATATTCATTATCTTCCTACTTCCACCTTCACATCGTCTCCATCTCCACCTTGCCGCCGGTCCCTCACCCGTAAATCCTCCAAACCGCCGGCCATGGCTCCCTAGCCGCCGGCCTCATCCTTTCTCCTTTCTCCTTTCTCCTTTCTCCTTGGCTTTCCTAATTTGGGGTGCATGATATTAGGACTTAATGTGAAATTCAAATTGTTTAACATTTGAAATTCAAATTCCTTTCCTAATTTAGTTCACCTATTTTGGAAAGTGCTTAATTGAAATCAATTTGAATTTTAAATTCAAATTGGAGTTGATTTAATACTTTCCATTTTCGCAAAACTAAATTAGGAAGCCCAAATTGACTCCACAATTTGCTCCCCCATCCTATGCTAGCCGCCGGCCATACAAGGCTCAAAACCGCCGGCCCCACTTCAAGTCTTCCCTTTTGGATTTCTAAATTTAATTAATTGGGAATCAATTTTTAGGACCCAATTAATTAGAATCCGGAAATTCAAATCCTTTCTCTTTTGGCTTAATTTTATTTTAGGAAAGTACTTAATTTAAACTCATTTGAATTTCAAATTCAAATTGGATTTATGTCATTACTTTCCTAATTCCTAAAATCAAATTTAGAAGCCCTCAATCACCACATTCAATGCTCCCCTTATTCTCCTAAGCCACCGGCCCCTGTAAGAATAAATGGAATTTATTTCCTAATTTCATACTAAGCCTCTTTGGGAAATAATTCCTTTCTCTTGCCAACCGGAATTCTTTAAGCCCAAGCCTTCTCTCACTTTCCAAAATCTGTTGAGAGATCCCCCATAATCCCGTCAACCTCCTTACAGGTTTTCTGAATTGAAGTTTGGAAATAAAATCCCCTCCCTGGCCCGTATACTGACTCTCCTCTTCAAATCTCTTCCCAAATTCCTTGGATCTTGAGTATTCTACCGTCTAAGACTGCAACCAGAGGTTTCCAGCAGCTAGTACTGTTCTTCCAGCAACCTGAAGCTTCCAAGTAGTTGTTTTTTTACCACAGCAAATTGCTGTCCAGCAATTCCTGCTGTACTACTGTTGCTCCAGCACCATTAAAGGACCTCTCCTCGTCATACAATCCTTTCCAAAGTCAGAACAGTTGCTGTCCAAGGATTCCTGCAGCCCCAACGGTTATCCCAGCTTGCAAGAAGGCTGAATTTTAACAATCCAATAAGAAGAGCTGTTGTCCAAGACTTCTAAAACCCCAAAGCTGCTATTTAGACTTCTGTATTTGCTCTTCAAGACCCATAGAAGTCAAATCCCGTTCCCGTTCTACATCACAAATGGCAATAAATTTAAAGATCATTTGATATGAAAGACTAGATAAAATACTCTAGATGACCTAAGGAACTGGTATTAGTGACATTGTGAACTGTTCAATGCATTCCCTCTTAAAATGAGGAGCTAGCACAGGGTCCACAATCTGGCGGTTACATGCCAAATAACAAAAAAGATATTACAAATATGACTAGAGAGAAGAAATTTTAGGCACTTATTAGTTGTTTGGCTCTGTCAAGAGATGGCGATAATGCTAGTTAAAATGGAAGTCCAGAGTGGATGGTCTTCCATTGATAGAACATCCACAAAATGTACAAGATTCCAAAGGCTACTACTCTATTCTAAGTAAACGTGCTTACAAAGAATGCCCGTTAATGGTCTGACATTTCTAAGAATATTTGTGGCGATTAGATTCTCGAATTATTTAGAAAGTAAACCTTACAATTCCTATATTACATTCACATATTCTGAAACTACTGAAAAAAAACTTGCACCAGTACAAAATCATATTTGAGTATCACGGTAAGCCCTGGGACCTCAACCATGCTGCACATATGAAAACAAAAATGCAGAATAAGGAACTGAGAAGCAGCTTATGCGTGAAAAGGATAAAACCAAATAATTGCAGCTAATACATTTCTAAAAAGCAAAGAAGATTTACCTGCTCGGAGCTGGCCATGGACCCATGGCATGGGAGAATTAAAACCTTGGTAGGATCTCCAAGTAGTAGATGAGATTGCAGCTGTTCTTTGAGTGAATTAATGTCATCCCATCCAGTCATGAAAACCAAAATGGCACCTGGCCTTTCCTTTTGACATATATGGACTAAAACACTCTCTATTAGATTGAAACCAATTGAATCAGGGTTCCAGCAAGCTAGTGATTCACGAGTTCTAGAGCTGCAGTCTCTAAAATCAGCGGCTTCGAGTGCATCCTGTGTATTAGGATAAAGAAATAAGGCATTAAATTGAGAAGGTAAATCCAGTAAACTTACAACACGTATAGGAGAAGAAAACAAAATACTTCAACAGAAGTTGCAATTTGGCTCTTCCTTTTCCTAAGAGCTTGCTTTTGCATTTTCCAGCTTTTTTCTTGTCCATAATCATCAATTTGATTATAAGGAGTCAGCCTGTGTCCAATAATTTCAAGAACATTCTCCAAAAAGTGGGTCCGAACAGGATACGTAAAACCCTACAATATGAGGAACATAAAGAGCTGCTCAGAAGAATATAGTACAACAGTAGTCTGCATGTATAAAAGAATAACAAATGGGACATGAAAGTACTCTATATAAAAAATCATATTACTTGGCATAGAAATTTATTTCATGGTTTATTAGAAAGTGTTTGTCAAAGTAAAAAATCATATTCAAAACAAGCATCTACTTTAAAAGAATATATAAATTGATCAACTTATGGGTAAAAGATACAATAAATTCAAAAGCACAAAAGTGATATTTAGTTACTATATGTTCATCCAGCAATTTCTACTTTATCGAGCATTTCAATTGAAAAATCAATAAAATGAAGAAAATCATAGGGTGCTGCACTTTGCAATACAAAATCAATAAAAGTTACTGCATAAAAAATGAGGAATTTAACGATAAGATCCAATCCATCAAAAAGAAGAAAAACACCCCAACAATCAATGTTACACTGAATTGTTCCAGTACAAAATGAAGTAAATAGTCATACAATAAAGATGGTTAAAGATATATTATTCAAATGAAGCTAACTTACAGGTATATGCATCATGGGAGAGCCAGAAAAGTATGAAGAGAAAAGCTCAGCATTCAGAGTTGCACTCATCAAAATCAACTTAAGCTCTGGCCTATGAAGCAGTAGGTCTTTCAAGACGACAAGGAGAAAATCTGGCATCAAGACAGAATAGCATTTAATGTCAACAGTTCAACATACAGTATGTTCAATCAACAGTTTACCTTCATTCATTCCACGTTCATGAATCTCATCTACAAAAACATGGGTAACACCTTTCAAATTTCGGTCAACAAGCAATCTTCTCAATAAAATTCCTGTTGTACAGAAAAGAAGGCGAGTATCCCTCCCTTTAATACCTTCTAGTCGAACCTTATAACCAACCTACAAAAATGGCATATTAATTGCTGCATACATGCATATATATATATATATATATATATATATATTACTAATATTTATTTATGCTGGTTTCACGGAAAAACATTGCGGAGAAATAAAAGCTTCAAGATATCAAGAAAAAGAACATCTTACAGATTCACCCAAATTTTCCCCTCTTTCCGCAGCGACTCTTTCAGCTACAGCCATGGCAGATATTCGTCTAGGCTGAGTGCAAATGATACTACAAGTTGCACCATGACCATTATCAATCTCAGATTCTAGAATATACTGAGGTAGCTGTGTTGTCTTACCACATCCTGTCTCACCTGAAATGACAACCACCTGCCAAATTGAAAAAGGTTTTACCTCCTGAATTCGCTAAATAAATCTGGCCAAAATGGTTGACTTTCATTCATTCATTGATGATATATCTGCATTTATTTTAAGATCTTTCTTTCTTTTTTTTTTAAGGGGAGCAAATTTCACGATCTATGATTTTTTTGAGCTAGTTTTCATTTTACATCAAATTCTATAACTGAATTTGAATATCTGCAGCAATTGCATAATTTATGGTGGAAATCCAACAGTTTTTGGACTCATCTATCTTCTTTCATAACATGTGGAGCTTTATGATAACTAAATACTTCTTATTCTTATTGCTCCTTTTTTTGACTTGGCATAAAAATGGCAGTGTCTACCTGTTATATTATTTATGCATTTGCTATCAAGTAGTGTAAATTGTGGTTGTAATGCTTCCAATCAACATCAAGCATGTGGTTGTTCTTTTTCATATATGCCTCGTTTTTCTTGCTACATGTGTTGTTCCTACTATCAAAACACCTTTTATAATTTTATTTTGCTGCATGATATTCACATTTTATTTTTCTATCAAGCAGTTATATGTTTGTACCTCCCGATTAAGTATGCATATTAAATTTTGCTATTTCCATTTTTGCAATAATTGATGTTTGATATAAGTGCTTTCTAAGTGCTAAGCCCAATGTGATGCACAAAAGGAGGCAACGCTTTACAAGTCAGAGCATTCGTGACATGTATATCTTGTATGAAGATATTATGTGTATGCAGTGGTGGAAAAATTTTGTTGTCCTCAACGGTTTGCATAATTTGTGATCGAGCACGACATAGAAAATAATATATTATCCTTACAGACAAAAATATTATTTATCTATCAACTCAATAACAAAATTTACAATTTGATTTTTAGCGAAGATTTTCTCCTATTCAATATTTGATTTAATATGATTAATTTTTTTATGAGATACAGATGCCCCCCCAACCCCCCATAAAGGCAAGTTCCTGTAGTTAATTACATCTCAAGTATTTTTAATTTGAGAAAACTTGTAATTAAACTAGTGGTTTCCTCTTTTTTTTTTTAGTAATCAAAATATTGGCTAATATTTTCATTTTTGAGATTTATGAAATTCTTGTTTAAAGATTTAATCTTTAGGAATTTCAAGGGAGGAATGATACACTTGAAATCAGAATTGGAATGGAAGCCAAATGAATGAAATGTAGGAGTACTTGATCGTGAGAAGACTTAGAGGTACTCAAACTATTCTATATTGAGCTTTAAATTTTAGCATCAATTTTTTTTTTTTAATTTGACAATTTTGATTTAGAATGTTGGGGTTTATATTCTAACAACACATTTTAGAGAAAATGCACAAAAAGTGAGGGCTTCCTAAGTGAACAACGAGCTCGAACTCTATAACTAAAGTGAGGACTAATGAGGGATAATGCGTCGAACATAAGTCTAACGGAGTGCAAAGTATTTACAAATTACACCTTACCTAATGAATAGCCAGCCTGACCTCTAGATTTATTGCACTGCTGGAAAATCTCTCCCCCTCAAATTTTAAAGAGAGGAATTTTTTTCTCTAAGTAGAGGAAAAAGAGAGAATGAGGGTAAAAAGAGGTGTTTGAGATGGAGAATGAGGTGGTTAGAAAAAGAGATTATGAATTTTGTTCTTTCTAAAGAAAAATTTTTTTTCTAGAGAGAATTTTCTCTCTAGGTTTAGAAAGAGCAAGTGAGATATAAAGGGACTTTTTGACATAGAGGATGTAGGAAGTGGAGAGGAGGCTTTTTTGTGAAGGGAGGATGTGGTTTGAGGGGTATGGAGAGAGAAATTAAAATTTTAGGTTAGGATTAGGGTTTCTTTTAGAGAAAGAAGAAGAAGGAAGAAGAAGGAAGAAGAAGATGAGGAAGGAGAAGAAGAAGAAAAAAAAGAGAAAGAATGGAGAGGGAAGAAGAAATGGAGGAAGGAATAAGAAGAAAGAAAGTAGAAAATGGAGTTGGAGGGAGGAGGGAAGAAGAAGAAGAAGTTAATCTAGGTGTTGTCGGCAACAAGAGTGGCCGGCGATGACGGAAGCTTCACGTGAGTGAGAGAGAGCTGAGTTAAGGAGAGAGGGGGTCAGTTTGGGCGCGTGCATGAGTTTGGCGTGAGCGTATGTGAGAGAGAGAGGTAATGAGTGGATGGGAGGTTTATTAGGGAATTATGTTATTTAGTCTTTTTTCCTCACTTTTTTATTATTTTTTTTAAATTACTATTTGTACTTTATTTTTAAAAAAATGATATGATTTTTTTTAATTAATCGTGCCATGACTCAATTTCCATGTTGTCATCGTTCATGCAAGTCAATGCTGCCTTGATCCGCACACGCAAAATTTTTGTCGATCAACAACCTGGTCATTATGAGTATCGATCTAAGCTGTTTCAACTATTCCAAACGCCCTAGCACTATCCATTTTAGCGATTTATATTTTGGGTCGACACGTGTCGAGTGGGTTTCGCACGGCGTTGCGCTATTTCTCTTTAAAAACTCAACATGCATGATCAACTCAACTCCGACACTTAGTATTGATGTCAACATATTATAACATTAAGAGGAATGATCCAACTTGGAAGTATGCAAATGTAATTAAGTAAAATATTTTCTCACATATGGTACACAAACACACCTATGTATATCTTGAGCTAATGAGCATCTTAATGATCCTTTTAGAACATCCAAAAGAAGTAATATAACTAAATGCAATAAGGTTCCTTCAAATGTAAAGGAAAAGTTGTTTGCATATCAAGAATGAAAATAAAAATGAAACAAAATTCATGTCTAGCATGAAAAAATTGAAACAAATTTTATATATGAAACATGGTGAAAGTGTGCTAGAGAATAATGAAAATTAGATATTTCAATGTCCGTACATAATGGAAACAGATCATTGGAATTAAATTTTGGAATGGAAAGTATCAATGATAGTAGTGGGTTAAAGTTCTCTAAGATGAAAAGCTGTATGGATCATTTCACATGTATAAAATCTTAAAAAAGAAGTTGCAAAAAAAAAAACATGAGGCAAATTTGGATCAAAGAGAAGTTAAATAACAGATTTAGGGATAAAAGCATAGCTACATGGTTCTGTTAAGCTGACATTCATTTCAAAACAGTGAAATTGAACAATTTTGAACATATGGTAGAGCCTATTGCGCAAAATGCATTGGGTCTTAGTCCTACGTCCTATCATGAGTTGAGAGTCCCTATACTTGAAAAAAAAATAGAGGCAAATAAGAAGGATGAGAATAAGCACAAAAAGATCTAGCAAGAGAAGGTTGCACTCTTATGTCAGATGAGACGAATGGACTGCAAAAATGAACAAAATTAAATTTCTTAGTTAATTTGCCTTCAAGCATGACATTTATGGAATCAATTACTGCATCTAAATATTTGAAGATAGCTTTGAAGTTCTTTGATGCACAAATTGAAATAATTGGAGTATAAAATGTGGTGCAAGTGGTTATAGACAATCGCTCTAGTTATGTTCTTCTTTGTTAGTAATTTAGGCTATTTTATTTCAATATAAATTTAATTTTTCATTACATTGTGAATATATCTTAATTCTTGAAGGTGAAATGCCTATGGATAAGAGGACACATATATTAGGCCTCATGTGTAGCCCATAGCAAAAAATCTAATGCTGGAGGATTTTGGAAATACTGATCAAGTAAACAATTATTTTGAAAGCCATGGAGTTATCTAACTTTTAAAACATAATTTCTAGCTAAATCAAATTTCATTGTGCAAATTCAAAAAATAAATTTGTTCGAGACATAAGCTGACTCTAGACAACCAGCATATGCTTAAGCAAATCTCAAGGCAAGACAAGAAAAAACTATTTCAAAATAAAAGATGGCCTGGAATAGTGATTAAGTTGCCTCTAATATGTTCTGGAAGTCTCAAGTTCAAATCATTTAAAAAACTTTTTTTAAATGCAAAGATAAGGTTGCCTACATCCCTTATCTAGAACCAATAGCTAGAGCAATATGTACTTGGTACACCTTATTTGAAGTATTCAATATGAAAAACTTCTCAACACTTCCACACATTTTCCTTTCGGAATACAAAGCATCCTAGATCCTACCCTAATTGCTCAAGTTCGGATCATTTTAGAATATTTCCTATATTTTTTCATAATTATCCTATTACATCAAGGCTGCCACTAAGGATTTCGTGCCTGATGATTGAAAAAATATTACAACATTCAACCCTGAAAATTCAACCTTGATGTCAAGTATGGCAATTTAAATCACAAGAAAATTATAATTAAGAAAAATCAAGATTTTCTTACAAATTCATACAAAAGTAACAATCCTACTAACAAATATTCAAACATCGTAAGGAGCTAAAGAATTCGGGATAAACCTGATTTCGAGAAATGGCCTGCAACAATGCCTCTTTTTCTTTGTAAGATGGGAGACTTTTACGAAATTCAAGCATCTTTAGACCCTCTGGAGATTCCTATGAAAAAAAATAATGCAAAGATACTCTCAGAAGGAAGTCAAAATAAATAGACTGGAACTACTTAACAAGTTGCTTATGGACATTAGGATAGTATCGCAAAGCCTCATGCAAGCAGGAAGCACCAAATAATTAAAAACTATATCAGAAAAATATGTGAAGCCAACTTATGCCTCCCTGTACCATATTTTCAAATACATGAAACCAACTAATCACTCAAAAAGGTTCATGTTAAACCGGTCCTTAGTGGACCGGTCCAGCCGGCCACTTCTAAGGGACCGGTTCACATGTACAGGAGAAGGGGGCAGCGCCAAGAAGGAGAGAGAGGGAATGGGCGGGGTCCACTAGAGTTCAAATTCAAATTTGGGAGCCAAAGGAGGGGGCGGCAAGGGCTATTAGGTCTTTTTGCTTTTTGTTTTAATTATGTGCCTTAAGTATGAGGGGGAGATTAGGGTTAGGGTTATGTTTTGATTATTGTGTTCTTGAGAGAGTTTTTCTTTTTGGTGTCTTGGGCCTTAGCTTTGTCTAAGGGTTGTGAGAGAATGATCCTCCTCTCGAATAGATGATCAATTGTATCTTGTTGCTCTTTGTTCCGTAGATTTTCTTCTATAAAACTATTGTTTTGGTGAGATTTCTCCTCAGATTTTGTGAGTTTGTTCGTTGATTTTGTCTCTATTAATAGGAGTACTTGAGTTTAAAAGTTGATCGAGCCTTCGATTTATATCAGTTGAGGTTAGCAGTTCCAAGAGTGGGTTCATCATGTTGTTGCCACCAAAAATGGTTGTGGACTAGCACGTCACGGCCCATGCCAAAAGCTAAAAAAATCCTGAGAGAGAACTCAAGTAACGGTTGTGTCAGTTCCCAAAAAATTTACTCATGATAGGTTACGAAGTTGTCCGGTTCCCAAAAATTTTACTTATGATAGGTTACGAAGTTGTCATGTGCAGCAAGCCACGCTCTGTTTTGCTCTGTTTTGCTAGTCGCAAAACATGCAACAAGCTTAAGCATGAACGATTAAACGATCACGCAAACTATGCAACTAGCCCAAATGTTACCTATTAAACAATGGGGCCCAACTAATGGGCCCAACATCATTTCTAAAGCAACACCCACCCTTTAATTCTCCCCATCTAAATTGATCTTGCATCAAAGTTTTACAAGACTTCCTCCCCATTCCCTCTATAAATAAATGCCAGGAAAAGCACATACCAAAAAGAAAGAAGCCCCTCTCCCCTCTCAATGATGTGGTAGCACAAGGGACACTTCCTTGTCATATAATATATAATTGAGCTTAAAGTTAATGAAATAATTACCACCAACCCCCAAAAGAAAAAATTTAGATAGTACATATGGAAAAAAATCCAATAATCACTTTGCTTAGTAGGTTACCATAAGATGTAAGAATTGAAGAGCATGATGTAATACTCAAATTAAAATTTAATAGAGAAAAGAACAAAAAAATATAGAGAAAAGAAGAACGAAAAAGGAAGAAAAAAGAACAAAAAAGAAAGAAGTAAAGAAGAAAGAAAGAAAGAAGAAGATGGGAAGAAGGGTAGGAGAACAAGAAAAGTGAGAGGAAAAAAAAAAGAGAAATAAAGATGAAGATGAGGGTTCATTTTTTATAAGAATCATATATTTTCTTCCACAAATTGAATTTGAATTCAAATTTATAAGATTGAAGGTTTGAATGAAGAGAAATTATTTTAAGGTAAACTAATATTGGATGGCAATTAATTTAGCTTCGATGTGGCAAATTAGAAATTTCTCTTAAATGAAGAAAACTGTTATTATCCAGATGTTTTTTAACGTACATGATATTGAGGTGATAGAAATCATGAACTTAGTCCCAAAAAAGATACTATAATTCAGGTGAATACTCAAACACTAATCTAAGGAGCAAATTACTCTTATAGACCTAATCTTTGATGATTTCCATAATTTCATGAAGCTACTATGTGCATGCAAGTAAATATTATTCATATTGAGCATGACATGATATAACAAGTCTAATGAATTTTATGGGATCACCTACTTAAAAAAATTTGTCATAATTATTCTACAAGTTTTATGCTGGTTGTTAACTACCTAACGCAATCCTTCACTTTTCTAATCTAAGGTTTGGGACCTAGCAACAGTTGTGTTAACCTTAAATAGGTGATCTATGTTAAGAAAGGTAGAGGTGGATGATGGGGACCTCAGTTGGAAAGTCTACCGTCGACGTGGCCGTAGATCTACGGCCACGATGTACCCGATGTATTTTTGATTTCAGCATGATCGTTTTATTTGATGTAATTTTTATTTCTACACTTTTCCCTTTTTTACCCTTGCTTGAGGGATTGAGTCTTGTAGCCCCTCGAGGGTATTTTAGTCTTTTATTTTTATGACATTGTAATGGGCTATTTATAGCCTCCTTCTTGTATTTTCATGGTTAATGAATGAATGACAAAGAATTTTCTGCATTATTTCTTCTTCTTGGAGCTTTTGTTATGGCTTGAGAGAGAGAGAGTTTGAGAGCTTGGTGGAGCCTAGGAGAGGCCACCCGTCGTACCCAACAGTCACCACCGGTGGCTCTTGGTTTCTCCTCCCTTTTCCCTACCTTCTTGTGCTTACCGCCGGCCAACTTCCCCTCCTTACCCGAGGCCACACCCTGTCAAATCCCCACCTCCATAGCCCCACCCGAACCCCTCCTAGGTTCTCCTACCATCCCCGGATTCCTCAAAACCACCGGCCAACTCCCTTTAGCCGCCGACTCTTCCTTGCCGCCGACCACCTCAACCCTCATCCCCACTTTTATTTTGTTTCCTATTTTGGTTTTATATATTTTGGAATACATTTTGAATTCAAACTTCAAATATTTGAAATTCAAAATATTTCCTAATATACCAATCCTATTTTAGGAAAATCATTTATTGGGCTCCTATTTGAATTTTGATTAAGAGAGGAATAAATCAATTCTTCCCAATCTTAAGAAATTCAATTAGGAAGTTTACTCATTCTATAATTTTCCCTCCCAGCACCCTTGCATGCCGCCGGCCCATAACTCTCCTTCATCAACTCCTTTTCAAATTGTTTCCTAAAATCCATTCTTACTTTAGGAAATAATTTCTAATTCTTCAAACCCCCTCTGAGCCGTAACCCCCTAATAATTATTCACTAATTTGCTTTCCTAAAACCAAAGCTTGGTCTCAGGAAATCAAAGTCCCGCTCCTCAATCCCGCCGGCCCTCTCCTCTACTACCCGCATTCTCCCCTCCCTCTCACAGCTCCTTCCCACCAGCAAAGCACTTGAGATTCACGTCATTCCCCTTGCTCCCCTCTAGTCCATCCCTTCCAGACATTGAAGGCCAGTTTTCTTCTCAGATTTTTAAGGGGAAATTCAGAAAAATTTCAGATTCCTTGAGGGAGATCCTGAATACAATTTCAGATTTTGGAATCAACACTTGGGAGGTACGTGGGATTTCTACGACGTCTCTCCGTGAAGGTGATCTTTTCTCCTTCTTGATTCTTTTACTTTCGAATTCAGAATTCTTCATGAGAATTTGTTCAAAGCAAGAGATTGTGTCCCTTTGTTGCCATCCGCTAGTATTCGTAGGATTTGCTACTTCTTGGCTTTTGGATCTCGTTGTTAAACTAGGATTATGTTGAATACTATCCTACTTGCATTACTTTAACTTTCCTACGTGTTTTGATTCCGTTTAGCATTTTGTGTAGTTTGGCCTAAGCGAAAGTGACCGTTTATTAGTTTTATTTTGTGGTTTTTAATCACTTATAACAAAATCTAAAATTGATCTTTAAATATTTCGTGCAAGTTCCTAAATCATACGTGTAGTCCTGCATCAGTAGATCTAAAAAGACTTGGTTAGAAAGTATTAGAAATGATCTTTTTTATTAGTTTTAGACTATTAATAGGACAAAATTGAGAGAAAGAATTCATGTCGCCAATCCCACATAGTGGTATAAAAGCTTAATGTTGTTGTTGTAATACCTATTTAAAGAAATTTAAGATATTTTTAATCAAAAATATTTAACATCTATTTAAGTGCATAAATGTCAACTTTTGCATATCCTATATACACTTGAAACATGATAAATAGATTAATAGATAACAAGTAAATATCATAATTAAGCAAATTTTAAATATTAATGATAATGACATTAAATTGAAATAAGTTAATGAAAGGTCATGTTATGTTGGATAGGTTGAAAAGGGAGACAATTTCCAGCAAGATGAGCCTCAATGGGGAACAAGAGAAATTCCTAACTCTCAATCCTAGAAAGTTGATATAGCACGATTCAATTTTGAGATCGAAGAACCATTTAAAGTGATTTAGGGCTGATGGGTCAAACAATTGACAAATGATATAAATGTGCCAAAATTTGATAGGCATTATATAACATTTCTAAGAAATTAACTAAAATGAAAACAAAAATGAAAGTCAAGCAAGTAATTGATAAATAAAATGCACTTCATTATTTAAAACTTATAATATGCATTTCATGTTCATATAGATATGCACAATTATTGCTTAAAATTAAGTCTCTTATTTAATTAAATGTCAGAAAGTTTTTCTTTAAAGTTTATAACTACCTAAATTAGTAATATTTATAATAAAAAATGCTTATGTTAGTTCAAAGAATCAGCATGCAGTAAACATCAAATGCAACACTTGATAGAAATGAATAGAAAATAAAGAATTTTAATCCGACTCTGAATAATTATGATAAGTCTACAACAACAACAAGTCTTTATCCCACTATGTGAGGTCGGCTACATTAATCATTTTTCTATATTGTCCTATTAAAAGTCAAATTCTCATTTAAATCTAATACAGAAAGGTCATTTCTAATATTTTCCAACTAAGTCTTTTTAAGTCTATCTCTACCTTTCTTAACATAAATCAAATCTAATACATCTACTATCCTTACGGGGTAATCAGAAGGCCGCCGTTTTATGTGCCCAAACAATCTAAGGCGACTCTCTCTAATATTTTCTTCCACTGGAACTACTCTAACTTTGCACATATATGCTCCTTATCTTCCACTGGATCTACTCTAACATTTTCACGTATATGCTAATTTTGTATGACTGGTGCTACTCTAACATTTTTCACGTTTATGCTAATTTCATATGAAATGAGCATATCCGTGAAAAAGTTAGAGTAGCTTCAATGGAAGATAAGATTAGAGAGAGTCACCTTAGATTGTTTAGTCACATAAAATGGTGGCCTTCCAATGACCCAATTAGGAAAGTAGATATACTAGATTTGGCTTATGTTAAGAAAGATAGAGGTAGACCTAAAAAAACTTGGTTAGAAAATATTAGAAATGACCTTTATTTATTAGATTTAAATGAGAATATGACTCTTAATAGGACACGATGGAGAAAATGATAAGTCTAACATTAAAAAAAATGATGATGATAATTTATTATGATGAATATAATTCATAATAGGACACAATGGAGAAAAAGGATAAGTCTAACATTAAAAAAATGACAATGATAATTTATTATGATGATTATAATTCATAACAGTTAAAAATCTTCCACATAATTGAAAACATCTGAATAATTATTTCCGACTTAGTGTGTTAATTCATACATGCAAGGACCTAGGGTGGCGCTAGTGCTTGGAGCCTTAGACAGTCATATCATCTTGAGGATGCCTGGCACTTACACAACACCGCTCCATACAACATACCCTCCTGAACACAAAATTTTACAATTTAGACTAATAGAACCAATGTCAAAATTCCAGCTTTTCCCATCAATGTCAAAATTCCATGTCAAACATATAGGATTAACTATATGGTGAGCTGTAGTGCTTATGAATACAAGAAGCAAATCTTATTCTGCATTCTTTGACTAGATGGTTTACCAAATAAGCATGATCAAGCAGTGTAACCTCGCATGAAATTATGAAAGTGTATAGCACGGTTCACAACTGAACAGATTTCTGATGTGTTTCAAAATTTTATAAGCTAGTCAATGTGGTTCTGTTCAGGAGATCAACATACGCAAGCTGCATTTCTAGCCCATTCAATTCAAGGATAATTAGAAGTTCCCAGGGCTCAAAACAAACTTAAACATAACAGTACAACTTCCTAACTGGTCAAAAAGCACGTGGAATGGAATCATGATTCATCATTTGGAAATTCCAATTCTAATAATTTGCCTTTTCAATACAACAACAACATCAAGCTTTTATCCCACCCTACGTGGGGTCAACAACATGAATCTTTTTCTCCATTGTGTTATGTTAAGAGTCAAATTCTCATTTAAATTTAATAAAAAATGTAATTTATAATACTTTCAAACCAAGTGTTTTTAGATCTTCCTCTCCCTTTATTCAAGATCAAATCTAATACATCTACACTACTAATCAGGTCATCGAAAGGCCGACATTTTATGTGAACAAACCATCTAAGACGACACTCTAATTTTATCCACCACTGGAGCAACTCCAACCTTTTCACTTATATAACTTGCCTTTCAGTAAAGACACAAAATACACTATCACCGTTCACAATTTGTGAAAAATGACAATAAAAAGGGCTACTCAAATGCAAGCTAATAAAAACAAAGGTAAAAATTAGAAATTAACAAACACGTATCAAGCATTAAATCAAATGTTTCGCACAAACAATACTTCAACGGACCATGCTGTGACAAACATCAAATAGCAGGAAATCCAGCATAATTACCACAATTGCAGATTAAACAAAATAAGTGGAGTTGATTAGATTCAAACCTGCCAAGCAGCTTGCTGGTTTCGTAGCTGTAAGCTCCTCCGCCTTAGCATCTTTTCCATCACAATTGAGGTCGACGTTTGGGTATCCTGCTGCTCAAAGAAGCCATCATCCATAGAAAAACTATCAGCGCTGCTAGACCTAGAAAAGCTACTGCTTGGGAAGCTTTCTGGATTAGCTCTCTTTCGAGTAAGATAGTCTGTAAGCAAAGACTCCACTTCCCTTTGCAACCCAATAGGAATTGACACCTGATGCATACTCACATCAGCAACCATAACAAATCAAGCATCACGTTCTAAAAGTTAAGGTGGGGAGTTCATCAACCATCAAATATAGCAATGATTCAAACAACAAAACTTCAAGCACATGTATGCTCTTAGAAAAGTTCTCATGGAAAAACCAGCGGTAAAAGAACATTCCACATTTGTTCCAATTTAAGATGAAAAAAAGTTTAAAAGGTTCTGCCAAACCAAACTCCATGAACCATATACAAGGATGTGATTAACAGAATAAGAAAAGATGGTTGACCATACCTCCCTTTGTGGGCGCTTATCATCGAGATCTGGTCGGTAATTGGGCAATGGAAGCTTGCTAAAGACAACAACCTTTGCATACTGACGACTACCACGTACGCATGTTTAAAATTACAAGCAAAGAATATCTACATTAGACTGACATTTGCAATAGGCTGTAACCAAACACATAAAATACTAAATATACCTATGCAATCCCATTCTTTCAGCTACAGCTGCAATATGCTCGTAGTCACGCCTGTCTTTCCTTTCCCTGGATACTAACTCTTGCTCAGACTCATTACGGAGAAGCATACTGAATTTCCATTTCCACTCATCAACATTGTCTAAAGTAGAAGTTCCCTGGAAAACAATAAAAAAGCGTGAAAATAGAAGAAAACTTAAATAAAAATATACAAATACAACACAAGCAAGTAGCATTGTTACTTGTTAGTTTCCATGAGACTGAGAAAATGTACAATGATAACAAAAAGAAGCCATCATACATGCATAAGGAGAAACACCAGGTAACGCAACTTACCTCATATACCTGGATAAGAATTAAAGTGCATAAAATGGGTAAAACCAATGAAGTTTTAGCCACTACAGAATCTAGGGAGGGTTGATGTGCACAATCTTACGCCAGCACTGAAGGGTGTTTGTTTTTAAAATTCAAAAATATGACTTCCAATTCACTAACGGAGGTAACCTAACTACTGCCTCAGACCCACACTCTTTGAAACACTAAGGTGCTTAGGATCTCTTAATTGCATAAGAGAAGAATATCAGCTAAGAATGAACAAAGAAAGACTTATAAAATAAAAACTGGCAATAACAAAGCATACATAAACGATAAGTATGCACTTCATAATACTGTTATCTCTTCACAGCATTCAAAGATTGAACCTCCATAAAAATTCTAAATGCAGGTTTTATAATTATGTTCTCATTCACGGAATAAATAATTTCTTTTCCGCATGGACCACAGCATAAATAACTCCTCAAACTATATAAGAAACTTCAATAGTACTGCAGGATCAAAAATTGTCAATATATTTCCTGCAAGAAAGAATGTGTATTTCCTTTAGTATTGCCTGTGCCCCTGCTTTCCTTTTTTTTATATGAAATGCAAATTGCATACAAAACTAAAAATAAAAAAGATGCAACTTAGTTTTGTTGGCTCAAGATAAACAGCACGAATTCAAGAATCCCGCTTTGCAGCTTTAGGATTCCATTTCCCTTAAGTCAGATCGTAGTTAACCAGCCAGATTTTTCTTGAGGCTAGGGTTAGGGTTTAAAGATCTGAGGTCCTTACTACACATGAGCGCAAGCACTCATAGTTAATTACCCCTCTTATCATGTAAGAGAGAACTCTCGATTAAGGATGAATAAATTTTAGATATTTTTAGTCTCAATAGTGGGAAAAATGGAGGAAAACCCGATCAAGATCCTATCGTTCCGTCATCCCAGGTATACCGTAGATTTCAGTCTACCAACACTAACAATCATTGACCGTAGTCTCTAGGGAATCTGATTAGCAGCCATGGGTTGCCTCCTCTCAGAGATCCCGAATAAACTGAAGTAGTTGGATATGGGTTTTAATTTTATTGGGTGTTTTGGGGTTTATAGCTATTAGAATACCCAGAAATTGGTCTAGTTTGGGATTTATGACTTCGTTTAGAAGTAACCTAGGAGTTTGGATTGGAACGGGACTTATGGTTTCTTTAGAAAGTTGCCCAGGGATTTAAATTTAGGTTGGGATTTACATATTTTGTAGAAAGTAACTCAGGCATTTGATTTGGAATGGGGCTTACTTCTTTATTTATGAGTTGCCCAAGGATGGGTCTTACAACCTAACTTTATAGCAAGGCTACCTGAGAATTTTAATTATTTAGGTAGATCTTATGATTTCCATTAGAAAATTGCTTGAAAAAGCGGGTCTTACAACTTAATCATTTAGACTAATATGCCTATTGGTTTGAATTGGATTGTTTGAGGTTTAGGATAATTGATAATTATTTAACAATTTTTCTAAAACGTGGGTCTTGCGACTTCACTTAGAAGTTGCCCGTTAGCGAGTCTTACAACCTAATCCTATAGACCATGATGCCCTTAAATTTTGATTGGAAGATTGGTTGGAAGATTCAATAGCTTCCTTAGAAGTTGCTTGATTATTTTTATGAGCGTTAGGGTTGTTGTACTTTTAAAAGTATAACTAACACATGGGACTTACAACTTCACTTAGAAGTGGCCCGTTGGTGGATCTTATAACCTAACCCTATAGGCTAGGATGCCCAAAGGGTTTAATTATTTCGGTAGGAGATCCTACGATAAAAATTTCACATGCTTTCAACATAGGAATTAGTATTTAGTATCATAATAACTATATTTCAAAGCATTATTTAAAGATGAAATTCTTTCTCGAGGATTTTGCCTTAATTTTTTAATAAGAGTTGCCCATGTGATTAGATTGGATAGGGACTTATGGCTTTCATTAGAAAGTAGCCCAATTAGTGGGACTTACGACCTCCACTAAAGGTAGCCCGAAGATTTTGGTTGGATAAGTCTTATTGCTTCCCCAGAAGTTGTCTAACGATGGGTCTTACGACTTAGCTCTATAGACTAGGATGCCCTTGTGAGGGGTCTAAGGTTGTGTTATTACCTAAACATTTCCCTCAGATGTCGAACTTATGGCTTCTATTAGAAGTGACCGGTGTTTTAATTGGGGGTTAGGGGTTAGGTCAATTTTACCTAAAACTCTCCCATAAGGTTGGGCTTACTTCTTTCCATTGAAAGTTGACGGGTAGTGGTTCTTAAAACTAGGTTCTCATTAACAAGGCTTCCCATAAGTTTTTTGAGTTTGATTATGTTTTTAGATAGTAGTTGCTTGTACAATGTTTGGAGATTTGTTTTGTACTTGTTTGAGTTGGTTTGAGTTTGTGATTTTGATACTTTGGAGTTTTGACACTAGTCTTTGGTTTTCAATTATTTTGTGTCTGTAGTTTTTCCTAATTGCAATAGTCTGTTACTCTATTTCAGTACTGTTATATTATTTTTTACACGCTTCTCATATTTTGTTCTACCTGCAATAGCTTAGATTTACAAGCATTCATTCAATTTTATTATGAAGTACTGATTCTTCATTTGCTTGTTAGCAACTGTTTGTAACCAATAGTTACAGCATTCAGGGCTTGCAATTGTAGAGGATAAAGCCCACAGGTAGCTGCAGGAGCTCGTACAGGAGAGACTTTGCAGGGCATGCAGGGTGTTTTGTCTCTGTTGGAGAGTTTCAGTTTGTGTTGTGGGAAGTTTTGAGAGTTGTTGTGAGTGTTATAGTTTGACGGGTTTGGAGAGCATTTGATATCAATTGTATATGTTAATTAGTGGAAAAAACACATTTTTATTGCATTTTCTTTTATTTTTATAATTTCTCAATTAATTATTAAATTCATTAAACAATTAATCAATTTAAATTTCAAAGCTTTTGGAATTCCCTTTTTTTTATTAAAAAAACTATCAAATTTTAAATGCTTTCAATTTTTTTTTAATTAATCAATCAATTAAATTTCATTAATTAATTTTAATCAATTAATTATTTATCTTAATCAACTGATTAGTTAAAATTCAAATTGAATTGTTCTCCAATTATTTCAAAAAAGAGAATTTCAGTATTTTCTAGAAAAAATTTTGGTAGCCTCCCGGGTTCTCCTCCCCACCGAGGGAGAAATCGGGATGGCACTTGCCATTGTTTCTTCCTACCCAGACATAAGGTCAACAGCATAGGGTATTCAAATTAAAACCATCCCGGCCAGATCTAAGATACAACGGCCAGGGGTCTTCAAATTAAAAAAAAAAAAAAACATATACACGAATTAAAAATCAACGGCGCGGATCTTCAAATTTTAAAACCATTCGCCTAGATCTAAGATCGATGGCGCGGGTCTTCGAATTTAACATTCCTGGCCGGACTTAAAGTCAACGACACAGGTCTTCAACACATGTTTGAAAGTCGTTTCTCTCTTTTTTTTATTATATTAGTTATATAATATTATATAAATAATAACAACATGATATAGATATATCATGATATATGTATATATAATATTATATATTATAATATGCGTTTAAAAGAGAAAGGGAGAAAGGGTTTGAGTCGGGTCTGCTCGGGCACTTGAGTCGGGTCTGAGAAGGAGCACAGTCGAATAGTAACAAAGGGGTCAAAGAAACGAGTCGTGTAATCTCTATACCTCCTATAAAGAAACAAAGTCGACCAACAACTAAGGGGCGGAAGAAGCAACACGTGCAATCTCTACTTCCTGCGAAGCAACAAAGTCGGACAACCACGACGGAGCCGCAGAAGCAACGGCAATCCCTACACCTCATGCGAAGCAAAAGTCGAACATCAACAAGGAGCCGAAGAAGCAATGCGCGCAACCTCTGCGAACTGAAGCCGAACAGCAACGACGAAAAGGGAAGATGAAAGGCGGACTGGAGGTGGTGGTTTGGTTGGGTTCGATCGTGTGGGAGTTGGATGTCGGGGTTGGAGGCCTTGGGCGTCGAGATCTTGTGGAAGAGAGGTGAAGGCGGAGGGCTCGAGCAACATAAATGCGATGTGAGGAAGATCAAGAGCGGAAGTGTAAGTTTCTTCGTTTCTTTCTCCTTCCCTTTTATCGATTGAACTATCGAGTGGGAGTTATGGGTACGAAGAGTTGCTTCGTTTGAGCATGCTACTGTGTGTAGTGGGCCAAGGTTGGCGTGTGAAGAGGTACCTCTGTTCGATCATTTTTTTATCTCTTTTCTTTTTTTTTAGTCAACAAGTTTTTTACCAGAATCCTAGATTTTGATCAAATACTACCACTGTAACAATGATAGCCATAAATAACATTTCTTGGTTCCAACTTTATTAAACATCAAATGCACAGATATCAATACCAAAAAATAGAGCATGCTATAGTCCATAATATAGCATAGCTCACCTACTGTGCTATTTGCATGGCAGGACAAAGCAAAGTTAAATAATATGCAATATGTGTCTTGTGTGTGCGCTACAGCTCATGGTGCACATGCAAATTTTTTTTTATTGATTGATTGATTTAAAAGACTTCTATAGATAAGAAAACATTGCTGGAGTTTAAATATAGCATAATAAAAATGTTTTCATTACTAAGCTCGGGACACATGCAATACGATCTAATAGAAGCGACATGAAAAAGTTGTATTATTACAATTTTTCATCCTCCTTTACATGTAGGGCTTTATCCTACAATGCTCAAATATTGTATGATTATTTTATGAGGTAGAGCTTATAAACAGGCTACACAGTTATCTTTGTTATTTTTAGATGAGTAAGGCTATACCTTATT